ACCGTGCCTGGTGAACTGCTATCATGCTTCAGACATGAGTATACTTCATTAAGTGCACTCAGAGCTGGTTCCAAATATATGCATCAGTGTTCTACCCGGATATCGCCATATCCTTGCGATTTTTTATCCAGCATCAGGTTGTGAGGAACAGCGGCAATCCTCCAATCATCATACCTCTGTGACAGGAAGAGATACCAGCGTCCTTGGCTTAATTTATCGGCATTTCTGTCAGGGTTGTTTGCTCAACCGTCGAGTCAATCAATGCTTCGGAGACCGGACTCCTCAATTGCGTCAGTGCGGCAGTCAGGATGGGTGACATATTAGGATGTGCATTGGAATCAACTGCCACCAGAGAAAGCTAGTGGTTCCTAGTGGAGGCATGGGGAATCGCGCCACTGTGCGTTGTTAAAGCGAAAGACCAGGACAGTTAAACGGTGGTTCATTGTTTTTTTTACATGTAAAACTTGTCACGTTGCCAGAAGGTGAGATGTCGACACTGAAAGCAAACAGAATTTCATACTGTAGGGTTTCTCACTTAATAAATAAGCACTGTTGTCTTTCATGAAGCACTTCCAATCTCGTTTACAGGTTTGGCGCTACGATTTGGCCGGGGATCCTTCAGACCTCGTGGATTTTTCAGGAGAACGGGAAGAAGAATTGGATATCAACCATCATAATGGGAACGAAAATAAAGCCGCCTGTTTGGCGAAACTGATAGGCCATGCTGGTGCTGTGTGGTCGGTCAACTGGCATTGGAGTGGACGTTTCTTGATTTCCGGAGGAACAGACAGCACGGTTCGCATCTGGGACGTTGAGATGACCAAAACTGTTAGTCAGATGTCCTCTGAAAGACGTCAGCAGTGTAGATCGACGTTCCGGAAACAGACCGGTACGGTGAACTCCACTCGCTTCCTCCCGTACGGGAACATATTGGTTAGTGCGTCAACCGACAAAACAGTGGCCGTTTGGGACGCGCGTGCAGTAAGTGCTTTCACGAATGATAAAATCACAGTTTTCTGGTCCTGAAGCCCGGTCAAATTACTGGTACGAGCGAAATCAAACCATAAGGTGAAAAGTCCCCTTGTGCGTGTTTTCGCTAGCCATCGAAAGGTGTTCAGCTGCTATCTAAAATGTTTTAGCTCTTCGTCGGTCTCAAGTTTTGTAAGGTGAGATATCTATACGTTTGTCCCCGGATTTTGAACGCGGGGTAAATGTCATACGCGATGCCATTTTTGACCAATACAAACAATTCCAGCTGTCACACGAAAAAAAATCGTTCAGCCGTAACACCTTTTCGGTGCCCAAATGCTATGCCACCCGAAGGAAGCACGAGGGCTGAGATACTGCCAGGTTGCCCAAGTCTAGACAGGGGAAATCGAGAGGCAGAGGTCGGGTTCGAACCATGGACCTTCCGGTCAGTAAATTCGCGCTCTAACCACTCGGGCCATCTCGCCCCCAGCTGTCACACGGTTGAAACATCACTGACATAGTTACTCTTGATGTATATTTCCACTTGCCAAACGCAGAACTCGTAGCGACACATTCAGTGAATACTAGCTGGAACAATAACGGTGCTTCGAGGTTTGTAAGTTGATGACTTCATCTAACGACTCAAGTGTGTGTATGGAATGGACCAGACGATTTCCGCTAAACTTGGGCATCGAAGTGCCGTTCGTGTTCACGAGATGGTTCAGGTTTTACTTGTTACAAACACTGTTTGGTGGGTTGAACATATTTCTTATCAATTACAGTTATATCTCACGATAGAAGGAAACCATGATGGGACCAAAATTTTCACACATTGAGGAGTCGAGTAGATGAGCGACAGATCTTCCGTTTTCAGTATGGTCACATAACCAAGTCATGCTGACACATCACGAAGAGTTTGTGTTACACCCTGTTCTAAGGAAGACGGTTTCATCTTAAGGACAGATGCTGAGCTTCACGAAGCCGGACTCTGCTGATAAGAGGAGCTCCTATCTATGAGCGTTGAACGGTCGTTGACAACACTGTGGAGGCTACGACGCCATTTTTCACAAATAACTATCCAGTATGACTTTCAAATTTTAAAACACCTAACAGATCAGTGTTCATCAAAAGAAAAACACATGATTTTGGATGCCATGGTAGACGGAGCTGGTGTGGCCCGCTCGTCGAATCAGGTTATCAGTTCATAAACTTTTTGTCACCTGCTCTACAGTGTGTTGGTGATGATCTTTCGGATGACAGTGCAATGTGTACTAAGGCTCAGCGATGATAAAATTTGAAGTACGCATGGAAAAGGGTGAAAACTTTTCTGTACCGAAAAGCATACTTCTGACTGTTCATAGTACACTATAGTTGTTCTCCTGGTTGCCATGTCAGCCACCCCCAGCTTATCTACGAAATATCAGCTCTCCGTATACATTGAGTAGGTCATACACTGAAAAGTGATCGCATTCTGTCAAATGTTCTTTCCAGGGCATTTGTATACAAACGCTTCTGGGTCATAATCATCCAGTCACCTATGCGTTGTTCAATCAGCAAGGAACATTGATCAGTTCGTGCGACACCTCTGGAATTGTCCGGCTATGGGATCTCCGACAAATTGGGCCCCACGGTCCGCAAACCTTCAAAGAACCTGGTAGTCTGTGCCAGACAAACTTGGTAGATCTTACCAAAGTACACAGTAACCAGCCCAGTTTCATGGTCAATCAGCTTGACTTTGAGCTAAGTGGCGAATTCCTAGTGGCAGCTTGTGCGGATGCCCGAATTTATTGCATCGAAGTTGCCGACGGTACGGTGAGTTGGTTTTGTGCACTTTGAGGTTTGAGTTGTTGAAAATACGTGCGAAATCTTGCGCTCCACAGTTGACTTCAAGAACTCAGTATTATGTTACTCACCCACTCATTTTTCATATCAGTTGGGTGGGCTACAGTTGACTTTCAAGTCGGTTGGAAAACTGTCAAAAGCGACTGGTTTTCTAGGACAGGATCATTTGACGTTCCTCATATGGGATCGGATACTCTGGGGGTGCGATTGTGAACCAAGGTAATCTTTGCTGCCGTCTTCTGTTTGGGTTTGTCACAGTGGGTATTTAAAGGGATGAACGATTTGAAATGATTTCGGCACTCTGGAATGAGGATCCTTCCTAACCATTTTTGCGAAACCTTCAACAAGCAAGGGTTCGATCCGAGTTTTTTTAACAGTGTGTTAGAAATTTCGTGAATTTGTCGATGAACATTCGGTGGAAACACCTAGCTGTATTTTATACCAGCATGCAAACTGCCTGTTGGTTGTCCGTCAGCAACAAGATTCTACTGTAACTGTTTGTTTTCAATCTGGAAGAGAGAGGTTTCGCTGCTGTCTAACGGATTACTGATGGTGATGATATCATAAAACTTGTCTGGACAGCTTTCTTCCACTGGAAGTTGTGGAGCGTTTTACATATCTTGGAAGTTGTATTAGTTCTGATTGCTGTGGGCGACAACATCGAATCGCTGTGCAAAGATAGTAATACAGAACGCACTACTCAAGGTCAATGAAAAATTCGGCAACCCACTACCGTTTTCACCCTTCGCGATGCTTTTCAGTTTGGAATATGCCCAATCCTTGTGATATCCAAAATAGACCTAGCAGCTAGATCAAGTAAGGAGATCTACCATAGGTAGAAAACCCAAAATATTTATGCCATCTACAAAAGCCTTTCTCTGTGGATACTAAAAGATCAGCCGATAGGAAGAGAACTGCGCGGTTGGACGAGTCACTGACAGACGAGCTTGGAAGAAGAGTAGCGTTAGGTTAGTTGATGCTTCTGTTTGAATAGCATGCTATGCTATGGAGCTCTGTTGTACAATGCTATTTGGTGAGTTAGGATTCACTACTTGAGTAGTTCCGTAAATAACCCTAGGACCCTGGAGCATCATCATCATCGTTTTCAGCTGTAATAACCGCGTACTCATCGTACAGTGCCGCGATTTCGTTCACCGATGATTTGAGGGCGGCAGGTAGCTGCGCATTGCAGGCGGGGGGTGATAAATTGGTGCGTAAATCCAGCACTGTCGCTGGGCTGTCAAGTGGGGCTCNCCGCGATTTCGTTCATCGATGATTTGAGGGCGGCAGGTAGCTGCGCATTGCAGGCGGGGGGTGATAAATTGGTGCGTAAATCCAGCACTGTCGCTGGGCTGTCAAGTGGGAGGCTCGGGAAGGAAGCTTGCATTGAAGGCAATAGCTTGGATTCACGAGCACTCTATAACATGAGGCGGCCTGGTGCATCACATTCAGTTGCCTGCAAACATCACAAACGAGAGATTCAGCTGGGTTCCGAGTGAGTCTCTCACAAAACCAAATTAGTTTTCAGATGAGTGTGTTTCTCTACTTTCGTGCAATTTGAGTTCACCGAGAACATAAAGTTGACGGAAACCATTTCATGCAATTTGAGTTCACCTAGAACATAAGGTTGACGGAAACCAGGGGACTGCGCCTAACTGATGAGCCCCAAGAAAGGCGAAACCGGTCATGGGCTGTCGAGGAGTTTTCAGCAACCTAGAACAGTTTCCGTGACAGGACTGTTAGAGAAGAGTGGGCTGGCTGGACCGTACGTACCGTCTTCTCAGAAGGATTTAAAACTGAACGGAGACCTTGGACTAATAATTCAGAGCAGCAGCTTTCGAAGATCATCGGTGTGGATAAAATACACCCAATATTTTTATAAACTGTGGCAGTAACCTACATAAATGTACAACCCACCAATCGATACATCGTCTAGAAATCCGTCTTCTCTCATACTACCCATCGGCTAACTAATCTAGATGAGTTTCTCTAATTGACTTATTGGTATTATTGAGTTATCCCATTGTCATCAAACATCACATGCATTTCAGACGGATGTCTTGTAGTTCATTGTTCACATGCAACAACTTGCTGCCATGTGATCGATGAACCAATCATCTGCTCAGAGCTTCCCACTCAGACTGCTGAATCTTGAGCTAAACTCCTCGGGCTATTCACAGAACACACAGCTGTTTTGGGCGAAACTGACTCTCTTTGTTAGGAATTTTCCGCTCGAGTGAGTATTACAAAGTGAATAGTAAAATAAATATAATAAAGAATAAATGAAATAGCTGAATGAAGTTAAAGGTGACTGATAATAGAAATACAACAATAAAATGTCACCCAAAAAGCCAAACAAAACATTTTTAAGCCTATCAGATCTACCGATCAAAATATTGCCGTTGTTTTACTTGATTTATATAATTGTTTCAACGCAATCAATGTAACGAATCATAGTCTGGCGGTGATTTTTCCTTTTCAATAATAATGTTTGTTTTCAAGGTCACGGAACTTGAAGGACACGAAGATGCCGTTCAGTCTGCCGTGTTCGACTACAGCTCAAATCGGCTTTACTCTGCAGGCAGTGATGGTAACATTTGTGGCTGGTGGTGATACAGAGTCCACGGCAGTTCAGTACACATGCAGTGGGTTGGTTTTGGACCAATTTATCGATTTTTCGTAGGCGACAAATATATCATGAGAAAACGATTGAAGTCATTTCAAATAAAGGTATTTTGCAAGTCTTGGGTGCTAATTTATTGTCACATGCAATAGGGGAAGCCTGTTACTTTTCTCTGGCTCAGTTTAACTGGAGAAATTTGCCAGACAGCTCCACTACAAAGCGCAGGGAAGTAAACTCTTTCTCTTGAAAGTGGATCATAGGTAGCGTTCCTTAACATCCGATTTCGATCAGCGAAAACGAGCATTTGCACTTCAAGCTGGTGGAAATGTGTGTTAGCCGTCAACTTCTATCCTCCAAGACACTATGAAAGATAGACAATCCCGATATTTGTGAGAGAGAACTAACGATCACAGAAATGGTTTTTTAATGAGTTGGATGTACTGCGGTTGCCTGAATTTATAAAACCTCAGATCCCCCAATAGACTTGTTGCTCTAAATACATTTTAATTCGAATTCCCATACGAAAAGCAATAGCTGATCGGGAGGGACCAATTTCGGTTGGTCTGTTTGGGTGCGCTTTCCAGGGGTGCAACACAAAACAGATAGATATCTCAAAGGTGATAAATATCGAACTGCCGTGCGCTGCTTCACGTCGCATTCCAGTCTCTCACTCCCAACAATGAACCATCCCGATCTTAGCTGGGGGGTACATCAGTCTGTTGTCCGTAAGAGCAGGTAATAGTGTACGGAGCTTAGAGTTTAGTAGTAGTGTAACCATGTACTGAGACGAATGTATTAACAATATGATCCTTCTTAATAACACAAAATAAAAATTTCCTGAAAGACAACTTTCGTTTACCTTTACCATGGCGAATGTTACTAAACTACCGCCAAGAAGCCACCATCTTACACCTCAGGCGCACTTTGGCCCAAACTTATGCACAGTCACAAAGTGAATATTGTCATTTTACTGCTGGCTTTCTTTCCACTGAGAGACAATCCTAGATTTGAGGCTGTATAATGCTCTATTGAGTCTACGTTAGTATTTCGGTTCTCTCAAGAAACTAGTATCCATAATGTAGTACCAGCAAAGGATACTCTAATTCAAGGCAATTAGGTAGATCATTTGAAGTGATCTCCTAGGAGAGGGTAGGTGTACGACTGTGGCCTTCTAAGAGGCGGCAATTTAAAAGAGGTAGTATCCACCATATCTTTCCAACTGTGCTTTTCAGACAAGTGAAGTGTAGTACTGTTGTCCCACCTCTGAAGACAGTCTACAGTGGCTCACCAAGTGCGACCTGTTCCTCTTCTAAGAGGAACCTAATCGTTCGACAAAATCGAGAGGGATCTACTACAGGTGGTCCTTTCTGTAAGGCAGCTTTTACAGAGAGCAGCAATGATAAAAGTTGTGCCTCATGAAGACGAAAATCACTTTAGAACACGATCCTTTTTTCATTCACTTGTCCAAACGCCTGACTAGGGCAAAAACGCATAAAAGCCGGGATGCACGTATCTTACACCCTAATCTTTGTTGGGCGATGTTTGACGCCACGAAAAGTATGAGGGTGGGAGCTGAGGTGATCTTTCAGAAGGCGTCAGTTTTGATGACAGGCTAATGAGATTTAGCTGAAATGGTACTGATTCGAAGAGCTGGTATCCTCTGAGGGGATCACCTAACGTATACATTTGTAATCAACTGGCGGTGGTCGTTACCTTATTGAATTCTCACGTATTGTGATCGCCTATTGTGATCGATCTGTGACCCCAAGCTCGTGCAACCAGGTGATCAACCGTCAACAAACTGGTGCTGTTATCAATAGACATTTTAATGTAAACCGCCGCGCTTTCAGTGGTTGACGCCTAATGGTTTGACCCGACTAAACTTCGATAAAACCCTTGCGTTTGCATTTTGTCCCAGTATGTTGAAAACCAGCCAAAAACGGCCAATTCGTTTTGCAGTTCTTCGAAAGTACGTATCTGGTAGTCAATCACCTTCATTCGGCTCTTGTACTACCACACTGGTTTGTAGTCAGATCCTCACCTGATCTGTAAGAAATTTCTCATTTACATCGAACAGAGAAATTTCACTGATCAATCGACGAATCTCAAGCTGGTCTGTGGCCTTGATTTTATGAATTCTTTGAAAATAAATGACCCCATTTCGTATATGTGAATGTGTAATTAGCTACATCAGTGTTTAGGCCATTTTTAACGATTCTGGTTTCTTGTTTTCGGAAACGTTTGGTAACAATCGGTAGATTTATTGCTGGGCAACGTTTCGCTTTTGACCCAAAAGCTTCGACAGGCCAAGTGACTAGATTACGAGGTTGGTCGGGATTTAAAGCGAAAGGAGAACCAACCAGTTAAGTCACACTAAATCACTGTTGGGTGTCAACCGAGGGATTTTTGTGTGTTAGGTCGATGGGGAACCTACATAAATTTAGGTCCAGCCTAGTGGCTAGTTCTTCCGTTTTGGTCCACTTGGAACGTTGTCAAGCGATAAACCTACCGATTGTTCCCAAACTTTTCCGGAAACGAGGACTACTCAATCGGTTCCAAGCATCTTCACCTTATTCTGGATCCTGTTTTCTGCCTATTGTACCTAAAATGAAGGTCACTGGTGTCATACACTGTGCATTAAAGGGTGACGAGCGAAATATTTTGGGGAAAACACCAGTCTGCACACAAGTCCCTTATCTCTTCTATGAATGGAACGAAGGTGTTAAGCGGTTGACTTTCAAACCATAATGTAAGTCCCATGTTAGTTTCGGTTTTCTACTGGTGTAACGGTGGATACTATTGATCGGCTATGCGAGTAGTATGTTTCCTCGTAAATCCGCTTCGCGTCCCTTGAAAAGTGAAATCTCTTAGGGGATTTGTGGAGTCGCTTTGTAGCAGTTGGTTGCATTTGAGTAACAGTCAATGAATACCCAGGAAAGTTCAGGAAGACGCGTTCAAGAAGAACAAAATGCATATGACAGTTTTGCTCCCCTGACCAATAGTCTGTAACCGTTCAGTTGATGTTTTTCTAACGAACAACTCCGCAGCGAAGGCCTTCTTCCTGTCACTGGTATGTACACCACCAGGTTTTGACGACGTGAACTTAATTGAGTTGGGCTGCTCCTGAGTCCCTTCTTTTGCCTGCGTCTATTTTTTGGGCATTTGTAGGGTATTTAAGCTTCATGAAGCTAGGAAACCTTGTGTGGAGATCCGAACAAAGCATAAAAAACATGTGTACAACAGAGTCATGTGGCTACTTGGAAAAGTCGAAATACGGATTTCTCATCAGGGAATTGGTCAGGAGGGAACTCTTCTTTGGGCGCCTGGCTGCCATGCCAACCGAAAGAAACGTGAAGGCTTGGATACCACTAGCTTGCCAAAGACAAGACAGCGCCAGTGGAAATATAGAGGTTGGGTTCGAACCACGGGCCCTACAATCAGTAAGTTCACACCTAAACCACTGAGGTATCCGGATGAAACATGTTGCTGGGTCCCCTGTTCTGGTTGAAAGTCAAAGATGCCTTCGAGGTACCACGTGGGTTTGTATTTGCTGGCTATCAAGAAAGATGCAAGTACTGAGGATCAGATATGCAGCCTGAGCTAACGGCCTTCCTGTCAATAGCTGGTTGAAATTCTCACAACTTCTAGCGTTCATGGGCGCCTTTTATCTCGTTTATTTAGTTAAGTGCACTCACATGAGCGTCAGTTCTAACGTCGCAACACAAAGTAGCTCAGGGAACACGAATAACACAGGCGGTTCCGCAGGTTGAGCACCGACGTTGACCAACCAGCCGTCTTTTGCAGTACAGTAGTCAATTTTCGTAAGAAACACCATCGTTGAACGCATTCAAACAGGTACACGCTTCGAACCGCTGCTTGCTTGGCGGGTAGGTTACAGAATAAAGCCGAAATCAAACAAGAGTTTTGTAACCACTTTAATGTTTACACCGAAAGATAGGACAGAAACAGCAGATGAATCTACCATTCTTATTTCAGGTGTGTGTTCGAATCGAACAAATTACCCATTTATGTGATCATGTGAGTCACGTTTCTCCAGACATTCGACGCTTTCACTCACTGGTTTCTGGTTTCTTCTTCGACACATATTCTGCAGTGCCGTACACTAACTACTATCACGAAGGCGTGCAACCTCGGTCTTTACGAACTGGGAAGGGCAGTTTCACTGATAGTCAACTGGTAAAATCACCTCAGTACTTGTGACTTCACACTGGAGATCGCTTGACTTGATCCTGACTTAAGTGAGATGGGTAGGACTGCGTTTGTCTTGGTGTGCCTAGGAAGAAAGTGACAAAGACAACTTTCAGATACGTGCACGGGGCTTTT